TCTAAAGGCAATAAATTATTTACTTCACGAGAATGTGTTGGATTTACATTTAACTGTATGCCCGATCATTTTAATAGCTAGAAATATTAGAACGGGATATGATCATCTTTGCTCATTGAGCGTTGGTACTTTTATAAATAGATTGCATCGCCTGTTGTAGTTCCGAAAATCCGATCCAAGAATGTCATAACCTTCGATACTGTTAATTGTTTGACCTGAAAATACTCTTCTGATGAAGATCGAGATATCAACAAGGAAGATGGCAAATGTTCTTTTTATGCCCAACGAAACATGATTATTGGCAGTCTAATAAAGCCATACTAAGTAAACACCGGAAATGACATTAATCGTAAGCAATTAAAATTCCTGACAGATGTACGTCAGACTATGAGCATGCTATCGTGATCGTGATGGCTTTGAAAATCTTCCKATCTCTTACGCTGGTTTGTCTTGCACGTAAAAGGAAACTTAAGTGGGACTGTAAATATAACACTTTTGTGACCTTGTCACTTGAAACACCTCACGAACGTTAAGGGCATTTACAGTGAAAGCAAAGAGTGTCAACTGATCACACAAATGTCGTGACATGACCCTAATTGGATAATGAACATGGTCGTGCATGCGATGCTTTAAAACACGCGAAGCAAAAGGAATTAAAACCGTATTATGATTCTCGTGAAGTAGAAAGTACAAGAAAGTGATCTATCGTTCTGAAGTGCACAAGAAAGCCTCGCTCAATTACCGCAGGTATGTAGGAAGTCTACGAAAGCATGATATTGTCAGTCATGGTACTATGTTGTTGATATCTACTTACTTGATTCTTTGGTAGCTGAACATTTTTCGTGGTCCTCGCTTATCAGCTCTTGATTCTGTTTTCCTTCCAAATAAATAAAATCTATTCAAAAAGTGCATTGATAGCAAGTAAAAGCAAGGAATTAGTTTTATTTCAACATTTCTATTGCATTATATACTGTCCATATAAAAAAGGTTGAAATGCGGACAATCACTATTCACAACAGTTATTTTTTAATATTAGAAAGGAGTTAATTCTNACATATGTTAGAAAACCCTGATAGATATAAATATCTACTGGTTAACCCTTATGTTAATGGCCGAAGACAATGATTATTTCAGTAATTCGTTTTTAAATCATTCAAGAGATTTATTCATACTGTTAATGGCGGAAGATAAACACAAACCTTCATAGTCATAATATATAGTGCTAAGGTAACGAACCTAATAAATCACGCCGGTGGACATCTTGGCTTTAATCACTTTAAGGGTGCTGATAAGGCTGCAAAATTACTAAAGAAAACAAATGTTAAGTTAGCCCGTGTTAACACTTATGTTAATGGTGGAAAACATGTATTGCATTTATAGTAATTTGTTTTTAAATCGTTAAAGCGATTCATTCATATCTGACCACAGGTAGCCCAAGCTTGGTTTCTGTGGTGTCCTGCTATAAGGAAATGTATGGAGATTCACCAAAAATTTCAATAAAATCATTGAAACGTGAAATAAAGCCATTCAAAATGGCGCCACAACAACACGAGTTGAAGTATTTCAATATAGTTTATAAATTTGTGGCTTTTGGTACATGGAAAATTTACACTGTTCTTCCAGATTCAAAGTAATCTCTAATTTTCTAAGACAAGGAGCTACACAGTTTTCATCCACTTTCGTGAGTAAGCTTACAGTTAAACATGAGATCGCAAAGCCTTAGGTTACAGTCTGTCGTTTCGCATTTTACACATCTGTAAAATGCGAAATGACGGTTTCGCATTTTAAAGATCTGTAAAATGCGAAATCTTCGTTTCGCATTTTATTGTTTCGTTTCGTTTCGTGGTTTATGGTAAGCCATTAAAAGTGTTTGCCGTGGCATTGAAGCTTGTTGGTTGCCCTTACAAAATTATTTTAGTCTTCGTTCATATCAAAAATTAAAACTCGAACAAACCTTTTTATGCTTTCTATGTTCGTTTATAGCATTTAATCTCACTGAATCAGTGAACACGAATGAGAATAAATGACTTACTAGTAAAACTCCGAGATGAAAGTCTACCACGTGAAATTGAAGGTCGCCAACTTTATTTAATGATGGACTTTGCCATGTCCCGATAAAAAGCTAAAGATATAAATTTTTGACCACATATATCCTCAAAGAACATGCACGATTCAATTCCACAATAGCCTGCATATCGCCTGCATGTGAACTCGCACATGAAGTTATCGACATGTCATCCAATCCATATATGGGTAATATTGCGCAACTTTTTCATTTTGTCGAGGAGGAAAAAAAACCAGACGTATTTTAAGACTGGTTTGCCACAGGCAACCCAGTAAAAACTTACTGGCGTTTCGGGCGCTCGAGTCCTTCGGACGCTAGTGCTCCGACGAAGGACTAGCGTCCGAAACGTCAGTAAATTTTTTCATCTTTTCACGGTGTATAATTTACTTTTTCATCATTACCTAATTTAGTTGACGTCACCTATTCAACAGTGAGACTAAAAGCACTCTAAGTGGTGATTCGATCCAAGTTTATTACGCGATGAGAATACGAACCCAAACTATTGGTAAAATATTAGCGTTACTAAGTTTACTTTTAGTGATATTTTCGCTAAAGATGCTTTTCGAAGGCGGTAATCTACATCGACCCTTCGAGACGACGGCGATTCAGAATAGCAAAAGCATCTCTGAAGGAAAAGTAGTTGCCGTGACAGGACAGATAGAGAAGCAAACACCCAGGTCAGTTTGAATGAACTAAGCTATTGTATGGTATTTGCAAACATGATAAACTTCTGTTTGGTTTACGATTAGTAATTCAAGGCAAGTAGATGTTGTGACGACAAACAAAACAGAGAAGCTGAAATCCAGGGCCCGTTTTGTATAATTTTCAAAGCTTGCTTTTTATTATGTGTTTGCTCTTCTGTGTTTACTTTACAATTATTTTTGTTCTCTGTTCTAGAATCGAGTTTTCGTATCGTAAATCAAGGCAATTTTCCCTCGAGACTGAGTTAATGTCATCCTACACAATAAAGACTGCTACAAATACAACGTGCTTGAGTCTAGGAACGAGATTTTCTACTTATGATCGTTGTATCTGCCGAAAAGGCTGGCTTGGGGAGTCATGTAATATCCCTGAAGCAATT